CCAAAAAAAAAAAAAAAAAAAAAAAAATGGCCCTACTTACGTTGCCTATGGAAAATGGTAACGTGAACCACCTTATGGTAAAGTATACTTTCTTAAGAAACTGTCAAACTGTTTTCCAAAGTGGCTGTACCATTTTATGATATAGGCAAGTTAAAAGTAAAATTATGGAAAAAGACATACCATGAAAACACCAATCAAAAGAGAGCTTGAACCCAACATTTCTGGTGATTCTGTTGGTATAAAGGGGGAAGAATTCAAAAGGGCCAGATGTCCATTTGTCTTTTTGACAAAGGTGCTGAAGACAACTGCATACCCACACACAGAAGTATGAATCTAGAATCTAGACACCTACCTCATATTATACATGAAAATGAGCTCAAAATGGGTCACAGACCTAAACATTAGAGCTGAAATTATTATTTAGAAGAAAAGAAACAAGAGAATCTTCATGACCCTGGTTATTAGGTCAGGGTTTCGCAATCTGGCTCTACTGACCTTATGGCCAGTATGGATGTTTATAGCATCCCTGGCCTCTCCCCACTAGACTCCCCCTTCCCAGCTGTGACAAGAAAATACGTCTCCAGGCACTGCCAAATGTCCCTTGGGGGTAAAACTGCCTCCAGTTGAGAACCACTGAGTTAAGCAAAGATTTATCAGATATGACATCAAAAGCACAAGCAATGAAAGCAAAAAGTGATAAATTAGATGTCATCATTAAAAACTTTTGCTTTTTGAAGCACTCCATTAGGTAAAAAGACAAGATACAGACTGAGAGAAAATATTTGCAAATCATATATATCTGATAAAGGACTTGTATCCGGAATACATAAAGAATTCTTGTAACTTTATATTCTTGTAACCCAGTCAAAAGATTTACACAGAGAACTCACCAAAGAATATATATGAATGGCTAGTGAACACATAAAAAAGATGTTCAACATCTTTGGTCATTTTAACGTATGTATGTCAAATTAAATCCACAGTCAGAAACCACTATAACAGCTACAATTTAAAAAAAAAAAGAATAATGAGAAACTGAAATCAACAAAAATTGCTGGTAGGAACGTAAAATGGTACAGCCACTTTGGAAAACAGTTTGACAGATTCTTAAGAAAGTATACTTACCATAAGATGCAGCAATTACACTCCCTGTCACCCAAGAGAAATGAAAACGTTATGTCCACACAAAGATGTGCATGTAAATGTTCACAGAAGTGTTATTCATAATAGCCAACTAGTGGGAACAACCCAAATGTCCATTAACTGGTGAGTGGATAGAGAAAACATATAAAATGAAATATTCAGCAATAAAAGAAATGAACTACTGACATATACTGCAGTATGGATAAACCTCAAAAATGTTATGCTAGGTGTACAGAGCCAGATGTAAAAGGCTGCATAGTTTATATGACTCCATTATATAAAATGTTGGAAAGGCAAATCTGTAATGCTAGAAAGCAGGATGATGGTTGCCTACGGCTGGTGGTGAAACTGAGAAATATAGCCTAGAAAATTTCTGAGACAGAGAAATAAGGAGTCTCTAGTCCTTATCAGATATTAAAACTTATTATAGAATTACAGTAATTAAATCAATATGCTATGAAAACAGTATTAAACTAGTAAGAATAGACAAATGATTCAATGGAATAGAAGGCTTTGAAGAAAAACAAAGACAGATAGCTATCTGAGCTAGTGGAAAGCAGCTGCATGGCACGGGGAGATCAGTTTGGTGCTTTGTGACCACCTAGAGGGATGGGATAGGGAGGGTGGGAGGGAGACGCAAGAGGGAGGGGATATGGGGGTATACGTATATGTACAGCTGATTCACTTCGTTATACAGCAGAAACTAATACAACACTGTAAAGCAACTGTACTCCAATATAGATGTTAAAAAAAAAAAAGACAGCTATCTGGAAAAAAATAAGAGATTGCATCCCTACATCACACCTTATGTGAAAACAAATTCAACATGGATCAAAGTCTTAAACGTTTTTTTAAAAAATCATGAAGGTACTAGAAGAAAAACATGGGGAAGTCTTGTTAGTATTTTGTGGTAGAGAATGTTTTCCAAAATACGACACAAAATCTAGGAAAAATAAAAGATAAACTGTCATATTTGACTACATAAACATTTAAAAAATTCTGTATGGCAAAAACAACAAAAAACACCAATCAAAAGTCAAATGATAAAAATATCACATTTAACATCACAAAGGCTAATTTCCTTGTATATAAAAAAACTGTCAGAGATAAAGAAAAAAAGACCAACAACCCAACAGAAAAATGGGCAGAGGGCATGAACAAGTAATTCATCCATGAAAAAGGATTGAAAAATGGCTCTTAAACATATGAAATGGTATTCACCCTGGTTCCTAATAAGATATGTGAAAAGTAAGGCAACACTTGGCAAAGGTCAAAAGTCTGGAATGGACTGTTGGTTAAACTGTGGGAAGCAGACACTGTCACATTGTTGGTGCAAAGCTCTATAAAAGGCATTGGGGAATACATATCCAATCTACAAGCACACGTTCAGATACATTTGAATCTGTGCATACAGCATTGCTTATAGCAGCAAAATACTGGTAACTGAAATGTCCATCCATAGGAGAGTGGTTACATACAGCACCTGCATACAGTAAATATGCAGCCATTAGAAAAGAATGTGGCAACTCTATATGTTGCAGAAGAGAATATATACACATAGATAAAAGACTACCATTTGTGACTTAACGAAAGATAAGTATATATAAGTATTAACTTGTACATGCATAAGCATTTCTGGAAGGATAAACAAGAAATTGATCAGAATGGTTTGCTCCAGGGAGGGCAATGGGATGGGAGATAAAGATGAGAAAAAGCCCTTAATTTTAAGTGTGCATCTTTTTTTGTGCCTTTGGATTTTGAACTATGCACACATTACTTATTCAAAAATGGATGCAAATTTGTTTAAAGGAATTGGGCTCATGGGCATCCCAGCGTTACCAGGTTCAATCACCTGCATCAGCATGAAAATATTTGCATATGTTAATTAAATCTCTTTCCAAACACAAATTGTGACTCATTTTTAGGTAGTTTCTTTGATGTATACTTCGTCCAGCTGTTCTTAAACATATACTGATGCTCAGGGCAAATCCACTCAGTTGAAGTTTGGACGTGCTGCTGCTCAACCCTTCCACTCTTCAAGAAAAGAGATGACAGTCTTTACTTTGGGCAAAGATGTGCGTGTGTGTAGAACAAGGAGGCCTGCAAGTCTACTGTCCTCATTTTAGAGAATTATATCATAGACATTCTAATTCAAAATAATCTAAAATCAGAATGTATTATGTATGTTATGTATGATGAGGATGACTTAAAAGATGGTGTCAGAACAAAGCCTGTTTCACACATTGTACACATGAAAGCTAGGCTTTTTAGATTTTTTGCATCAGTCTAAAGCTTTTGTGAATACAGGCCCATCCGTTAATTACTACGTGCCAAAACAGTTGTCTGTTGTACAGACTGGAAAAACTGTAAAGAGACAGAACTTACCGAGGACTCTTAGAGATAAATCTAAGATTGGATCTCCACGTTCTGTCCTTTAGCCCAAATGGAACATGCACACAAATCACCTGGGGATTTTGCTAAAGCGAAGATTCTGATTCAGTAGGTCAGGAGTGGAGCCTGAGATTCTGCACTTGTACTGAGCTCCCAGGCGATGCCAATGCTGTTGGTCCACAGACCACATGAGTAGCAAGTCTACAGATGACTCAGTTTCTTGTTTAGGCTGTGTGGCCTATTCTGTATGCTACACAGTTCTGTGTCTTCCCAGTCATCAGATAAACCAAGTAACCCAGTTACAAGGGTTACTAATACCACATATTAAACAGAGAAGGCCTTTCTCCACGTCCTCTGGTTTCTAAGAAGATAAATGCTTTTTATAAATAATCCCAGCCTCTTGTGCCACCTCCTACTACTTAAAATGCCATTGTTCTACTTTTCTCAATTGAGGGAAAATAATAAAAAACCTGAGAGAGAGAGGGAGAGAGAGAGGGAGAGAGAGTGTGTGTGTGTGTGTGTGTGTGCGTGCGTGTGTGTGCGCACGCGTGCGTGCGTGCTGTGGAGATGGCCTCTCTTAATTCTCCCACACTAGCATGAAACAGCAACTACATAAACAAAAGCTTTCTGGACCCCAAATTTCCCTTCAGTGAGCAGTTCCAAGGCCTAAACCGGGAGAAGAAAGGAGTTAGAAGGCACACTTACCTTTATCAGTAAGAACAGTAATAAGCTGATTTTCCATCTGCCTTATTCTTTGGTCTTACTTCTCGACTGATTCAGAACTCAGGGTGAGGGGAAGAGGGATGTTATTTATTGAATCCCTTCAAATCCCCAACACTTCCTAGACCACCAGCTAAGAGAGGAATGACAGGCTTGAAAAGGCCATCAGTCCACCCTTCACCGCCCACCCCCACCCCAGCTCGGCAGCTCATCCCCAGGATGGGATGCTTCCCAGCAGCTCCTTCTCATTCTTTGGGCAAAGCTGTCATGCAGAATTCAGCCTGAGCCCAGACCTTAATCTGATTCTTTCACCAAGTCTCTTGGAGGTTCCTTATTTGTGCACTTCCATCAATATACGCAGAAAAAGAAAGAGAAAAAAAAAATGATTTATCTCTCTTTTTACCCTTTGATATGCCTCCTAGTGGGCAAAACTGAATTTTAAGTTACCCATTATCTCTACCATGAGGCATGAGCTTCAAATTTTTACTGTCCCCATTCTACCCTCCTCGTGGCTCTCTTTCCATTCAGAAAGAAAAAAAAAACTTAGAACCCTAATTAAACCCTAATAAATCTTCCCAAATTCCCGATTCTACTTCCTTACCTTCTCCTGGATTCCTTCATCGTAACCAGCAAAGTACAACACGGGGACATTGAGCTCAGAGGCGGCCACCCATTGAAGAACGGCTTGGAGTTGCTTGTTCTGAACCGTATCGGTTAGGTTGTGACTGCTGACAATCACTTTGGGTGCTGCACACCCTTCGGGGAGCTGTGCTGATATACCTCTCAATTCGTTACAGATAGCTTCATAAGCATTCTTCAGGAGGATCTCTGCTGTCCCTGTGCCCTTGGCTGGCAAACACTCATGTAAACTATCTGGGGAGGCTGAAGTTGGCCAGTTGGTATCCCCAGACTTATCATCTCCTAGTTCTGCCAATGGAGAGTCACAGGACTTGGCAATAATGAGACACAACTTCATCACTGAGTCCATCAGATGTTCTACCATTCGCCCGTTCATGTGGTCATCTAGCTGGTTAGCAACCTTCTTGGTCAGCCCAGCAAAAGTACCTCCAGCCTCATCGCCTTCATTTAATTTGATGGGAGAAGGACTTACAGGTCTTTCACGCTGGGGACTGTCTTCTTCCTTAGCTGGCTTGGGTTCAGGGCTACGGTCGCTCCTGAAAATGGTCTCACCGAGTAAGTTCTGGATGAAGTTGAAGAAAACGCTCATTAGATCCTTCTCTGCTTCTTCTTGGTCAACCCCCGTATGAGGAGACCTAAGGCCGGACTCATCAGAAACTGCAGGGGACTTGCTGTTGGCCTGCAAGTTGGTGCTGCCAGCAGCTTTAAGGAAACTCTGTGCATCCATGCTTCCCCCCTGGGCCAGGTGGTACTGAATCAGAAGTAAGGCTGATATGATCAGGTCCCTGGCCCAGGAGTCAGAGTCATACATAAAATTCTCCGGTTTCTCTGGGTGATGCACAGAGGGACTGAGGTTGCCAGGATCGAAAGGAACTCCCAAGGGAGAGTCTGGTGCAGGTTTATACTGTTTGTTGGAAGCCACAAACGGCGCACACTGGACACCTGGAGATTTTCCTTCTTACTGCTGATTTCTGTGCAACAGGGACAGCCCCTCCTGGATGATGTGCTCACCCAGAGTTTCAGCACAAGTCTTCTCCTTCTCGGGTTTGGGTGCAGGAGAGCATTTTTCTTCCCTCAATTTACCTTCAGATTTCATGGATGCAAAGTTGACGTTTCGGTTTTTAGGGTCACTCGTTCCTTTCATGGACATGAGGGAATAACTCTCAGACTTGTCTTTGGTTTTCCTGACAGTCTCAGGAGGCTTCTTGGCAAATATCACTGAGTAGAGTTTACCCAGCATGGCATCCATGATATCTGTGGCCTTCTGGCTTCCATGAGAGAAGAGACTTCTTTTCACAGCCGAGACAAAGTCCATATCAGTCATGAGGGCCCCTGTGACGTCATGGAGGTTCTTCATGAAGGAGTCAATGAGATCTGAGACCACCTCTTCCGCGTGCTTGATCAGGACCTTCTTTAGCAGGATGGTGGCAATGGTCGTGTCCTTCACTTGGATCCTCAGGGTCTTCAAGATGGAGACCATCATATCAGACACCACACTGTTAGCATAGGTGATGATCCCTTGACTGACAGAAGCTGTGAAGTCACTGGGCCTTTCCCGCTCTCTGAACATCTCTCCCTCTGCGGGTAAGGACCTTCCGCCCTCTGTGGCATCACTTGCGTTACAAGATTCAAACACTTCCTTATAGAAGAAAGACTTCTTAGAAGAAGGCTTGTCGTCTGGACTCCTGCTTTCCTTGGTGCTGTCCTTGATCTTCAAAGCACTTTTGTATTTTAAATTCAGGGGACTCTGTAATGTTCCTGAGGCTCTGTCACAGGAGCCAGGAGCCTTATCCGAGGTGGAGTTTCTGGAACAGGCAGAGACAGTCTCGTTCACCAGCTCTGATGCCACCTTGCTCAGGCTTTTGTTGGGTGCGGGCTTATCCCCCACGTACACTGACTGATGGACGCATTTGCTCTCAGAGCCGTCAATCCTCTCGTTGATCTCCTTGCGGGCCATGGCTATGACGAGATTTGTGAGGCGAGTGGCGTAGAAGGAAACTTTGTCTACTGAGCTCCTGTTACCAACGTGGGCACTGGGGCCCTGATAAGGGCTCTCTCTGTGACTCATCTCAAAATGCAATCTCCCTGGACTGCCCTCGGTGGTGGTGTTATAATAGTCCACACAGAAACTTTTGCGTGGGTCTCCTGAGTTGACCATTTCCCCACCAAATGATGCTTCTCCAGGCTTGAATCTAACATCTTGGAACCCTGCTGTGCTTTTTTCCAGGTCTCTGCGGAGCCAGCTGAGCACTCTGATGGGATCATGTGAGGCTTCCTGAAAAACAGACAAGGATTCATCCAACTACAACAAAGCAAAGATATGGGATATTCAGGACAACCTCAAAGATCAGTTACAAAAGTGGTCGCCTCTCTCAAGTCTTAACTGCTCCATCAGCCCCATAGATGTAACTGACATTTATTGACTGCTTACTATGTATCAGGCACTGCTGCAAGTATTTTAGGCCTGTTATCTGATTTAATATTATTCTGGCAGTAAACTTAAATGCTAGTAGCTCTCTTATTACCCACATTTTGCAGAAGAGGAAATTGAAGAACTGAGAGATTTTAGTTAGTTTATTACCTGAGGTTATACAGCTATAATCATTGACAGAGGAGGAACTGCAACCCAGGCAGTGACTCCAGGGCCCATGCTCTTGACCACTGCACTATACTGACTCCAAAAACAACTGTCCTTAAGATATGACTGTCAGGGCTCCCCCAGTGGCTCAGTGGTTAAGGATCCACCTGCCACAGCAGGGGACATGGATTTGATCCTTGGTCCAGGAAGATCCCACATGCCGGGAAGCAACTAAGCCCGTGTGCCACAACTACTGAGCCTGCGCTCTCGAGCCCGTGAGCCACAATGACTGAGCCCATGTGCCAGAACTACTGAGGCCCACGCACTTAGAGCCCATGCTCCACAACAAGATAAGCCACTGCAGGCTTCCCTGGTGGTGCAGTGGTTAAGAATCCGCCTGCCAATGCAGGGGACACGGGTTCGAGCCCTGGTCTGGGAAGATCCCACATGCCGTGGAGCAACTAAGCCCGTGTGCCACAGCTACTGAGTCTGAGCTCTAGAGCCCACGAGCCACAACTACTGAGCCCGTGTGCCACAACTACCGAAGCCCGTGCGCCTAGAGCCCGTGCTCTGCAACCAGAGAAGCCACTGCAATGAGAAGCCCGGGCACCGCAACGAAAAGTGGCCCCACTTGCTGCAACTAGAGAAATCCCATGCACAGCAACGAAGACGGCAACGCATCCAAAAATAAATAAATAAATAAATAAATTTTTTAAAAAAAGAGAGGAGCCACCGCAATGGAAGCCCGTGCACCGCAACCAAGAGTGGCCCCACTTGCTGCAACTAGAGAAAGCCTGTGCACAGTAACGAAGACCCAATGCAGCCAAAAAAATAAATTAAATAAATAAATTTATTAAAAAAAAAGATCTGACTGTCAGCAGCTACAGAGGTAGCATTTGAGCTGAATCAGAGATTTCATGTATTGCTATTAATTGTTATTTTTTTATGGTTGATCTGTTTTATTTAGGTCTCTTTATTCCAGCATAGTTTTCAAAAAATTAGAAAATTCAAGGACAGTTGTGCCTAATTCATCACTTTACTGGGCTACACGAGCACAATCTGATATGTTCAATGGCTTCCAGTGGACTCTTTGACATGACTTAAGTTAAAAATCTGATTTGTAATTGAGGAGTTAGTATCTGTGGACAATTTATTAGTTTTGAGTGAATGCAGATTCTTTGGTGGACATTAGCTGTGATAAGCACATGGACATATTTATATGTTCACCTACTGTAATCTATAATCTTCACTTGAACATAGGCTAAAATAAGAATGTATGTAAAAGTATCCTACTTACCATCAAATGTAAGGGATCACTGTAATAACGACTTATATCTATCTGTCTGGGGATGAGCACAGGTACTGCCCATCTTTAAAGCATAATTTGCTATTCCAAGTATCATAGAATTGCTGGCTACCCTTTGTTCAATACTTACGTCTGCTACCAGGCACTGTGCTTAGTGCTCTATGCATGTCATTGTATTTAATTCTCATACATACCCTGTAAGGTGGGTATCCCTCTCCCAGTTTCACAGGTGGAAAACTGAGGCTTAGAGAAGTTAAATACTGACCAACATCTCACAGCTACTACAAGATGGGGGCTAGGATTCAAATCTAGTTTGGACTCTAAAATTGGCATTCTCCACCCCTATGGTATTCTGTTATGTTTGGATGACTTGGGAAGAAGAGAAAAGCAGCTGGACCTCTACAGGCTGGTTTCAGTTGCTTGTGGGCTACAGAGCTTGGTTCAGAGTCCTCCTAAATGGTTCTGCTAATTTGAATAATAGCTACTATAAGGAAATTTGTGCTCTAGTAGAAAACTATGCATAATCTATAGCATACCTTTCCACATTTTCTGATTCTGATTCCCTCAGAGCTATTTAAACTGTAGATAACTGATAGCAATGCAATATAATTCTTGTCTACACACATATTCATTCTGACCAGGGAAGAATTACTTACTGTCTCTCCCACTGTGGAAAAGGTGAGTTTTGCTTCCATTTGCACATTCACTTCAATATTCCTGATCTATATATGTCTTTTTCCTTTGATTCTCCTTTGGACTGCACCAGCTCCTTATTAATGAGTTAAATAAAATCTTTCATGATTTATTTTTATATTCATATGAGAGTCATTATTTCACCTTTCTCTGAAAATGATCTTTTAACAGTTTTGGAAGTCTTTGCCAAGATGTCCAACAGATTTGCCTAACAGAGGTAAATGTCATCATGAGGATAGTGTACCAGGTGCATCTTTTCTTAGGCCCCCAAAGGTGAATCCAAAGGGCAACAGAACTTTGCAGACGTTCTGTTTTTCTAGTTTTAATTTTCCTCTCTACGAATTTTCGTTTTGGTTTTGGTTTTGGTTTTTCCATGGCCAATAATCACCGGTGGCAGCAATGCTTGAGAATGTGGTTTTACTGTATCACCATTTGGTGATTTCTTTAACGGATTAATGGTTTATAGAGATCTATTCTCTGTTGGTGACAGACAACAGAAAATCTATTTTGCTAGTATTTTTTGCCTACCTTAAGCTCAAATCAGTTTGGAATTTTGTGCCTAGTTGGAAGGAGAAGGGTTCTTTCACCTCCGGACAGGTGAGTTTTGGGTTTCTGTGTTTACCTTTGACACATGACTAAAAGTTTTTTTTTCCATTGACATATAGTTGACATATAACATTACATTAGTTTCAGGTGTACAACACCTGTAATTATTTGATATCTGTATACATATTGTGAGATGATCATTTCACAACAAGTCAAACGTCCACCATCACCACACATAGTTCAAAAATTTTTTTCTTGTGCTGAGCTCTTTTAAGATCTACTCTTTTAGCAACTTTCAAATATACAAAATACATACTACAGTATTATTAACTATAGTCACCATGCTGTACATTATATCCCCAGGATTTATTTATTTTATAACTGGAAGTTTGTACCTTTTGACCTCCTTCACCCATTTTGCCCGCCCACCTCTGGCAATCACCAATCTGTTCTCTGCACCTATGAGTTTATGTGTTCTTTTTTTTTTTTTTTAGAGCCCACATATAAGTGAGATCATATGGTATTTATCTTTCTCTGTCTTACTTATTTCACTTAGCAGCTATTGTCACAAATGGCAAGATTTCCTTCCTCTCATAATATTCCACTGTATATACGAGCCACATTTTCTTTATTCATTGTCCATCAATGGACACTTGGGTTGTTTTCCATGTCTTGGCTGTTGTTAATAATGCTGCAATGAACACAGAGGTGCAGATATCTCTTCGAGATGGTGACTTTGTTTCCTTTAGGTATATACCAGGAAGTGGAATTGCTGGATCGTATGGTAGTTATTATTATTTTTAAATAATTCCCTCATATGATTGTGATTAAGATTAAATGAGATAATATGCACAAAATAATCTGTACACTTGAAATGGAATGTATCAGACAGGTAGTACTCCTTAAACATGTCAAGTGAAGATTAGACTTCAGAAGAGGTAAGAGAAGAGGAAGAGAAGGCAAGATGCTTGATCGTTATAGGGTAATGTGTGCAACGTGGTTAACCAGCTGTGGAGCACTAGGGAATAAACTTGACTTCCTACATGTACGGGAAGTAGGGCCCAGGGTGAAAACAGGAGTGCTGGAAGAGAGCATGACGAGGGGTGTGTCCTGCAACTCATTCCCATCAGCCTGGCTGGGAGGTGTGAAGAGGCTACTGAGTTTCTGTATGAATCTTTTAAAAAATTATTTTTCTGAACCAAAGGTCAGTAACAAGGGTGAACATCTAAAAGGACAAAATTCAGTTTTAAGAAGCTGTAGGAAAGAGAGGTGCCTGTATGCATGTCTGAGAAAGGGACAGAGAAAAGGTGGTGGAGTCAGAGCAAAGACTTCCAAGAAATGGAAAGTTCAGTGGGTTCCAGTGTACAAACTATTCACCAGGGGGACCAGCCTGATAGCCCACTTTGCAGAGGTGATTTAGGGGAGATGAATGATGTGTATCATAAACTATAATAAAACAATTCAATATGTATATAGTGTCTGTGTATAACATCATTTAGAGAAGGCATTTGAAGAGCAGCCTTCTTTGCAATGACTCAGGGACTCAGGCTCTGCTTTTGCATGGTTTCACCCTCCCTTAGGGACTCAAAATCTTTCCTTTGAGCCAGTGTATGGGAAACACCAGAGACTGTGGAGGATTGAATGAGAAACTTTTGTTGTCCAGGCCTGGGAGTGACAAACATCACTTCTACCCATATTCCATTTGTCTTTGCCTTTTTTTTTTTTTTTTTTTTTTTTTTT